CTCACTCGTTTTCAGAGGGGGGCCACTTTCGCCGATAATACATCAGTCAGCGTGAGGGCCGCCACGCCACTTGAAACCATTGGGGTTTGACAGCAGCACGATGATGGGGGAGGTGTTTTCACTCTCCGTGTATAGTCGGGGGGTTTCTGCACGTGCAGGGGGGGGGGGGCGCACTAAAGGCCACCAGGGTCCGTCAGTGGCCAGCGGACCTTGCGATGAAGAACACTGACACAGAGCACAACATTATCACGTGTAGATTTGTGCACGCACCTAGAATTAGCAACGGTTGGTACCCTGCGAAAGAAGTTGGACACACACACACGTGCATACACGGGGCCATTTCGTCAAATCGACTGCTGGATGAGGGCTTGCGTCGTAGCGGTCGTGGGGTGTGATTTGACCATACTTCACCGCGCTGGTTATTGCGTATTGCAGGGTGACGATGGGAGAGAGCACGTGTGACATTGAAGTACGATAAAGCAATGGATATTGGTGCACTGCCCTCTGCTGACCACCCCCCCCCCCCCCTTCTACGTGTGCAGAAGAGGCAAATGCTGACCGTAGCTCACGTCGGTGGCGAGTGATGTGACAGCCGATCCTGGCCCTTGCCTACCTAAGTCGACTCAGCCTTAAGTGAGCACCGCGGCGCGATGCGTGAGCAGCAACGGTGGGCAGACGAAGCCGGTCGCGCGTGGTGCTCGCCACATCTCCCCCCTCGTTGCCATCATAAGGCGCAGCACCACAAACATTTTAGCACTTGTCCCAGCAACCTGGAGGACTTTACGGGGGGAATCTATGTCTTTTGTAGTATGTGCGTGTGATTTAACACTATGTTTGAATATACGGGGGGGGGGGGGGGGTGCATCCTTGTAATTTGTACTGTGTCAACCTAATATGCATGGGCTTACGGGGTGTCTTTGCCGTGTGTGTGTGTCTGCGTTTCCAATGGCCTTCGTAATTTACCAGACGCACTTAATTTGATATTGGAGGACATCAGGCGCTTGAGACCAAACGACGTCACGAGGCATCTGCGCAATCTCTTTTTTTCTTTCCCCCAACCAGGTAATGGCACAAAAACACGCGGCAGAGCTGGGGCACGTAATTATACTGTGTTCGAAAAAAAGTTTGGCTGGCTGGCTGGCTGGCTTCCTGGCTGGGCTGCCTGGCTGGCGCGCGAACGGGCAAGTGCGCGGTGGTGACGTCTCCGCGCACATGTGCGTGATGACGTCACCCGCATCCCGCAACGGTGAACCGGGCCTGTGCGTGATGACGTGCTCCCCAACCCCCACTCACACCCAAACCTTCACCACGGCCGTGTATTTCTCGGTAATCCGCGGACAGTGTTAGTCACGTAAAATAAAGTGATGGACAATAGTTGCTCAAAGCAGAGTGCAGCCCTTTGTCAGTCCTCTGCGAGACAAAGGCCTCTTCCATGGCGTGTCAGTCAAGGGGAAGTTTGACCATACTTCACCACGCTGGTCAGCGGAGGTTAATGAACGTGGGGTACCCATGACTGGTTCAGATGTCAATTAATAATCCACGTTAGCCGTCGGATTACAGCGCAATGCGCCAACCACAGCGCCGCCGCTCCCCCCCCCCCCCCCAATTAGTGAATTCACCGGCAAAGCGAAGCAGCGTGAGCCTGGATAGTGCAAGCAAGGCACAGCTGTCAACCCATACGGTGTGTCCCGTATTCTTGTACAGGGAAATTGAGTTGTCGGGCAAACATTTTTGCGTCTATTTGTTTGTGTTTCTCCCTTTTTGTGATGGGACTTTTGTAAGATAAAAGTTGAGATTTCTAATTGCACGGGGTGACCAAAAAGGTCTGAATTGGTCTGTAATAAGCGAGGCAACTGATAAGTGGTTGACAGATATGAGTCACGTGGCGTGCAGGTTTAAGCGGTAGGCAGTAGAGGGCAGTGGCAGCCAAATGCACATAGTTGTACAATACCCCAATGCTCCCGCATCCATGCTCGCCGCCTCCACCATCCCGCATTGACCAGCGCGGTGAAGTATGGTAAAATAACACCCCCACAACCGGCACGGGGTGCGGAGGCCCTCATCCTGACAAAGGGAGCCGTATGCGTGACACGTTGACAAGTGCGCACCGCTCTATTCACGCCGACACGCAATGGCCTACTTTTGCGCGTGCCGAACAGACAGCCCGCTTTGGCGTTTCCCAGAGATAATCACTTGGGATGTTCTGACCCAACGCAAGACTCCCCCCATGGGTATCAATGCGGGCCAGTAGCGGCTCCCTATCCCTTTGCTCTTTCGCCCAATTATATTGCCCCAATTACATGTTGTGTAAAATTTCATTGGTTGTCATGGGAACCTTCTTGTTCATCCTATGTTACAAGTGTGCCTGTACCTGTGAGCAAGGGAGGGCCCTGTTCAGTCTCTGGTTCTGACTCCCGTTGGCGCTTCGGGACTTGCTTTGTAGCTGTGTTCGGGCGCGATATCGAGTCGTCAATGATGTTGACGATGATGATCCAATTGTACTCTCGGCGTCATGTTATCATAAAATAGACGAAGCCAGTTCCATGTTGAACCCTCGTAGAAGATCGATAACATCACCCCAGATGACCTGGAAAATACAAGTCCAACTTCCGTTCTGTGTCTCCGCATCAACATGTACTATGCTCTTTTTTAAATCCATCTGCCTATTGGCTTCCCAGACCAGTAACTGCATTTTTTTTTATTGTTTCCCTTCTACGTGACTTTACCGAAAGAACCATGAATAAGCAGTACATGCTTAAAGCAAGCAAACTGTGGATTCGTTATGACATCCTGGGTCCTATCAGCAGAGTCTGGCTTGCTAGACAAATTCCGTCGGATTACCAGATGTTGTTGACAAGAGCACTCCATGTAAAATATGGAACCCCCCCCACCCCCACCCCCGTTCTATGCAGAACCAAGTTTGCGCGATACGTTTTTTTCCGGGGGCTTTTGTCGGGAACTGAATTGTCCGACGTTTCGCTTCCAGTTGAAATTAATTCCTTGGAGAAGCTCGCAGCACACCGTGCCGGAGAGCGCGTACAGTAGGGCCCGGAAACACGCACGGGAAAGCCGAGCAGCGAAACCGCTTAAAACATGCGCAGCGGTCGAACAGAGGATGCCAGTTCAACATAGGATGTCAAACATTGTATGGCTGTTCAACATAGGATGTCGAACATGGGATGCCAGTTCAACATAGGATGTCGAACATGGGATGCCATTTCAGCATAGGATGTCGAACATGGGATGCCAGTTCAACATAGGATGTCGAACATGGGATGCCAGTCCAACATAGGATGTCGAACATGGGATGTCAGCGGCGCCGGCTGATGGTGTTTCTTGACTAGTGAGCTCACCCCTCCACCTCGGGGCGATGCGCTTCGAGTTTTGGCAGCTCTTGCCTTGCGGCGGCAAAAACCGAGCGGGATTGACTCGTCATACAGCCCCGGGTAATCCCTGCGTCCGCCCACGGCTCGTGTCAATTCAACGTCTTCTGACAGATGTTGAGCGCGACGCGGGCATTGCCCGCACGACGAACAGGGGGACTCATTCCCGGCGCACGAGGATCAACGTCCAGCGATCTCGGAGTCGTCCTCCAATCTGCAGTCGTCATGGCCAGCTCCGACCCAGTGCGATTTGTGCGAAAACGCACCGATAGCCACAATTTGCAGGGGGGCGGGGGGTAGGGAGGGGGTGAAATTGCAGAGGCGAGACGAAGTGATCCCGCTGTTTCGAGAAAATGTGAATCTGTTATCTGGTTTATATGGATGTCTGTGTGTGTGTGTATGTATATGGGTGCAGCGATTAGGGCGCTCCTCTACGATTATGACGCCCCTTTCTCAATTTGTATTTTAAAGCGTTAGGTGTGTGTGCCTGTGTGTGTGTGAGGGGAGCGGTAATGTAGTAGTTAGTGCGCTATGCTACGAACTCGGCGGCCCAAGTTTGATTCCCGCTCACGGCCAACACCAGTGACGATTATCTGAACCGGTCCTGGGCCTCGCCTGAGTCGACTCTGCTTCAAATGAGTACCTGGTGCGGTGTGTTAAATCGTCACTCGGGAGACAAAGGCGGCCGGGCGTGGTGCTGGCCATCTACCCCCTCGTGTGCCGTGCCGGCCTTCATAGCTGCTCGCTAACAGCACTTGCCACAAAAGTCTGCGAAGGCTATAGGGGGATCTTTGTATTTGCAGTCGTGTGTATAGACCTGCGTGTGTGTGTCAACTCAAAACCACGAAAGCAAATTTAGAGAAATGAGTGGCACACAGAGATCCTGTCTGCCCAGGCGGAGTGCGTCATTGTGGTCGTTGTGGATATACAGCTTTAACATTCTCAGAGATCCCCCGAAATAGCTTCAACAGACTGCTGAAGCGATTTAAGTGCTGTAAAAGAGCACCTATATAAGCCGACAGCCGGGCAGGAGGGAGTGGGGGTGGTGTGACCAGAACCACGTCCGTCTTTGCCTTCCCAGTGCTGAGATTGACACACACACGGCGCAAGGAACTAAGCTAAGGCTGAGTCGTCCTTGGGGAAGGCGCAGCATCGCCGGCTTCGTAGCTACCGCTGCCCACAGAATCAGATTATGGATTTTTAGTGGAGGAATCCGATGAGCTATGAAGCTCTTTTTCCACAGATGTCCAGTACTTGAATACAAACACACACTCATACACACACACTCATACATACGAGTGAACACAATACACTCGTACGAATAGGCGCTCGCGACCAGCGCTTTTCTCCGGCAGCGCGTTCAGGCTACACGGGGTTATTCATTGGCCTGTCTCGGCGTGGGATTGCCAGAATGTAGCTGCCGATAGCCGCTCCACCCGCTCATTCGCAATGCAGCGGATGAGCGGGTGTAACGGCGCCTCCTGCGTCGGTGAGTTTTCCGTAATAAATGAGGATACGTCGCTCTGACGATTTAGGTCAAACTTTATTTAGTTGTTTTCATTTGATTAGCTTACCGTTCTTACCCCACCCCCCCCCCCCCCCCAAAAAAAAAGGGCATCGTTTCACTGTAGCGGCCACGAGTGGCGTCGTGTGCTCGGGTTTGACGCGCTGCTGTTAGTTTTTACAGTCGTAGCCCGCAGCGATTCTCAACCCCCACAGCCTTTCACGAAGGCGCAGCCTGCAGCGTGGAGACCGTGCAGGAGTCGTTTGAAATGTGTTGCGGGGAACGTCAGGTGCCACGCTACGGCGACAAAGCACACCGATACACAGCATGGGACACAGGCTTTGCTCACGCAACGTGATCGGGGGAAGCATCCGAGCCAGATAAGCTGAGAACCGCTGGCCCAAGGCGGATCGCGCGCGGATCGCTCACGAGAAGTTGTAACTTCAGTTATGCATGCAGCAGCACCCAGCAGTCTACACAATGCAGACTAGTGTTAATTGAGGTTACATTTTGTTGTTCAACATACAGTATTGCTTATCAAATACGAGCTGTTATGAAAACAACCTTTCTGTTGTGATCCGCATACTCACGCACGACCACAGTATTGCGTGTTCCAATCTAACTGAACAATCTGACAGTATACGAAGGTTCAAGTGAGTTGTGGGAGTTTCTGGTGGGAATGCAACGCGATTATGATGGTGATGTTGATGATGATTGCGTCGGTGGTGGTGGTTGTGGATGATTGCTGTGATCTTGATTAATGGCGATCTTGATGATGATTGCGGTAGTTTTGATTGATATATAGCCAGGATGGATAATGATGATGATGATGATGATTTCCATTGTGGTGTTGGTAGCGGTGATTGATGCGATGACTGATGATGATTTATGATTATTTAACCACACAAGGATGGCAGTGGGTGTGGTTGTGATCAACGGTGACACTGCTGTTGGCGGTGGTGGTGAAGATGACTACGGCAACGATTACGACGCTTTAGATTCTTCATAACGATGACCACGATGATGACGATGGGGATTTTGTTTGCGGTGTCGATCATGACCGCAGCTTTCACCGTAACAACATCAATCGTGGGGGCACAGCCTCGACGTGATCCCTCGCGACACCAGAGTCACACGGTGAGCGTTCGATGTCCGAATGCGGGCGTCCGCGGCTGCGAATGATCATCCCCTCCGACCCGAACCTCGACGGACTGATACGCGTCCCATCGGATCGCAGCGCGTGCAACGTCCATCCTCGGGGTGGCGGTCGACTCGATGGCCCCGATGGTCGAGTGCAGCGAGCAGCTGTCGCCCCTCGCCTCGGCCACCTCCACGATGGGCTGCATCACCTTGTTGTGCGCCTGGCTCGTGGAGATGCCTCTGCAGGGGCCCGTCGCCCACCTAGCGAACACCAGCACGCTCTCCCGGTAGCACTCGCGCAGCGCGGCGCTCATCAGCGGCGAAGCGCAGCTGCAGCAGAGGAGGGCAAGGAGGGCGAGGTCGGAGAAGGCCGCGCCGGCCTGGTCGAGACACGACACGGCGACGCGCAGCAGGAGCGACGCGCCGTACAGGAGTCTGGTCGCGGCCCACGCGACGGCGATGCCGAACGGGGCTCGGTACGGCCGCCTCCTCTCGGCTCTGCGTCTCGAGGCCTCCGCCTCCTCTCCCTGCCGTGGCGGCGGAGACCCCTCCAGGAGGACCTCGCGCAGGGCGCGCGCCACGAACGGCGACATCGCGCACGCGGGCGCGACCAAGCCGAGGAAGAACTTGAAGAGGTCTCCTCCGGCGGGGCCGTGGCGTGGGTCGGGTCGGCAGGAGAGGCATTCCTCGGCGCGAGCGTCGTCACCGCCACTGGCGCTCGCGATCAACGTCGTGGAGATGGACAGCGCCACGCTCAACGAGGCCGCGAACAGCGCGGCCGCCAGGGGATTCGCCCGCAGGCGCCGGGCGAAGGAGCCGTGCGGAGGTCCCAGGACCTCGAAGGAACACTGGCACACGACGAGCAGCAGCACGTAGGCGCTCGCGTAGTGCGCCGCGTTGAACAGCGTCGCCGTGACCAGGCAGCCCGGCCCGCTGCGAGGCGCCGCGTCCGTGTGGAGTGCGGAGGAGACCCACGATGGGGAAACGGCGACCGACACGAGGTCGGCGGCGGCCAGGGCCATCAGCAGGGCGTCCAGCGACTCCTGGAGTTGGCGCTTGACTCGCAAGCGCCAGTAGGTGTAGAGGACCAATGAGTTGCCGAGGAGGCCCACGGGGAAGAGGAGTCCCAGGTAGAGGTACCAGGCGGTCGAGCTGAAGCCCAGGCACTCGCGCGCGACGTGAGCCGGCCAAGTCGCGTTGCTGACGGAGGCGTTCGTCGTGGGGTCGACGTCGGGGAGGGATGTCGAGGATGATGTCAGGTTTGATGTGTCGTAGAAACTGGTAGACATCTTGGAGGCGATGGTTCGCTCGGGAACATCTGGAACACACGGGCACTTTAGAAATAGATAAAACAGAACTCCGTCCTGTCGCCACAAATAGATATACAAATATATTGAGTTCATTTAGTGCCATACCCAGCTCGTCAGGAGAAGGCAGTACAGCGAATGGACTAATCGTTATCTGTTTCCATCTGTACGGGGATAGAGTGTTGCCCCCTCGCACGCGTGACTTTCCTCGTGGTGCTCTGGATTCCTCCTACGTGTATACACAATGCGTCATTAATTGGCTGAAAAAACCCCATCTGCAAATGAAAGCCTACTGTAGCGGCAGGACCCTTCGTGCAAAAAGAGACCTACTACTCAACATGGCTTCCTTGGATAAACACGCGATAGTATACACATCGTTGTTCCCTGGACTCTCTTGGATGTCGGGAGCTTTTTGCCGCCCATTGGTTGATGTTGCTCAATTAGGAGGCCACTCGAGCGAAGCACTTTGAAATCATCTGGATTGAAAACTAATTTCCTTAGAACTGTTTTTTGTGATTAGTTTGCCGTCCTTCCACCGCACCTCCCATTAGCACGGCTTGCGGTGTACGGTGCGAACGAAGTTCAACATACATACACGTGGCCAATGCTCTGGTCGGGTTTGTTCATCTGTTGTTCTCGTACTTGTGTTTTTACAATGAACATTTTTCGGGGGAATTTTGACAATATTCGTGGAGCGCGTCAAAATGTTTCAGCAACTTTTTTTTCATGTAATTTGCAGAAACGATGCTGTATAAAACAAATAATTATTACCGCTATTCATACAAGGAGGAGACATTCAAGCGTTCCGCACGAGTGGATTCAATCCGCTGGATTGCGCAGCGTTGTGTGGTGCAGTTGTATAAGCGTTGCTGCTATACATATAAACAAATCTATGATTATTATGGTTACTCACATCAGTTGGAGCACGTTTGAAGACGGCCGTGCAGTGGTGATCGTCACTTCACATGAGCATTATCATCTTTATATCTGCGTCTGTGTCAGGCGACAGGGGTTTACAACATGAATCACACGCTTGCCTCGACGCACGCCAAAGTCACCCGCGAATTTTCGCCACACGTATCAATGTCAAACTTTTAGATAATCTAAATCAGTAAATGTATGCTAGAAATTACTATCGAAATCTACATCTCTCCATTTAATACTACGATTGATTGAGTTTATTCACTACGACTTCCAGCCAAATCATCCTGAAATCGCACGAACTTGACCGTCTTTCGATAGCTGAGCAGGGTTGAGCGTGGGTGACCACCCGGAGTGTAACACGTTCTATAGGAGCGTAACACGTGCTATAGGAGCGTAACACGTTCTATAGGAGCGTAACACGTGCTATAGGAGCGTAACACGTTCTATAGGAGCGTAACACGTGCTATAGGAGCGTAACACGTGCCATAGGAGCGTAACACGTGCTATAGTCGTGGGGCGACAAGATCTGCGACGTGTCAAGAGATGGCAGCACAGCAGTAGATTCGGCAGATCCATAGCACGATTTGGGCCATTGGCTGGAACGCGTGGCCAAAATTCTATTTCAAAGGTTATATTGTTTTTAACCAGGGTGAGAACTCAAGAGACCAGGATGGGTCTCATTTGCAAGAGTAAGCTGGCGAATCAGTCTCGCAGTTGGGTGGGGGGGGGGGGGTTCATGATTTCCGCTATGTGTGTAATCCCAACTGAGTTACTTGCGGCGTCATTTTGAATCCTGACACCGGCAAACAATGGTGCTTTCCTGCGAATGACGCCACGCGATCCTTACCGTCCACTGTGACGCAGACGTCGCGTGGTATCATTGTAGTTATTACACCCGCAGTAGTGACCAGGGTTGCTGCTGGATTCGAACCATGATGCTCTGAAACGAACGGTGAACGCGCTACCGCTGGGCCGTGTCACTGCCCACCATTCATGCGTGGGGGGTTTTCTCCGGGTTTTTCTCCGGGTTTTTCTCCGGGATTTTCTCTGGGATTTCTCAGGGTTTTAATCTGGGGTTTTCTCCGAGGTTTCTCCGAATATTCTCCCACACGAGGCCAAACACAAAAAAATATTGAATTGGCCAGACATCACAATCGCAGGACTCACCTGAAAGATGGTGTTGAGTCTCAGCGAGGATATCCTTGCTAAACTATTCGGTTCAGGTGGTTGTGCTTCCGCTAGTGACTGGTCTACGCAGAGTGGTTGCAATAAAAAAAATATAGCTAAGCGTTTCATTTACAGTTAAGTAACAATTTACACATACGCTCTCGCAATGCTATTTGAGTCATTGTCACAATTTGATTCTATCGATTTGTTTCGTCTAGTTTCTTCTGTCTGCCTTGTTTCTTTTGCTTTGTTCGCTATCTCACTTGCGTCATTAGCCCAACGGTTACATTTATACCCTGTCATCGTGAGAATTGGCAAATACATTCACATTTTTTTAAATATAGATTTTGTAAACACACACAAGCGTTGTAAAAAAATATACATTCAAATTGTACAGGTATATTGATATATTATTACACTTACAAAAATATACATGGTCATTTATGTTCTTAGATTTTATATGCAATACAGATTTTACATGCATACATAAAGACGGCTCAGCCCTGCAATTGTTCGCTCACGCCACTGCTGGCGAAAGGGCCTCCACTAGAAGGAGATCCAGAGAGGCCCTGTCGGGAGGGTACCCACAGTTTACCCCACCACACAGGGAGGATACCCACAGTTTACCCCACCACACAGGGAGGGTACCCACAGCTTACCTCACCACACAGGGAGGGTACCCACAGTTTACCCCACCACACAGGGAGGGTACCCACAGTTTACCCCACCACACAGGGAGGGTACCCACAGTTTACCCCACCACACACGACATGCCGATCGACTGACCGATTCATCCATGTGTACTGCTGGGTGGCACAGATATATCGAATCGAACCGGCGACTTCCAGTGCGATACCCGTTACAGTCGGGCATCACAAATTCCAATAATAAACAAGCAGGGATAAAATAAAGGGACACTCACTCCCATCGGCCTATATATATGGGTGCTTCTGGATCATTGTTTTATACATGATGTTCCCAGGCACGTCAGCATTAACTGCACCAACCCTGGCCCACCGGTTTCAACCTCACGAGCTTCATCAGCACCGCGTGGCACCGCTGATGAGAGCGTGGTATATTCAGCAGCCAGGGCGTATCGATTCGATCCCATCAACAAATGACCTTGCCTGGCTTACACGAGACGTCAAATATGACAGTGATACGTAGAACACACCGGGTATATTATTATTATCACGGCACAACGTACGAGTTAACTAATGACTACCGTAATTCAATTACGCATACAAAGGTCCCCCGTATAGCTCTCAATAGACGAGGAGACAAGCAAGTGCTGCTGGTGTGGCCAGAACCACTCCCGTCCGCCTTTGTCGCCCCAGTGCTGATATTTAAACATAGCACCAGGTACTCATTTAAGGCCGAGCCGACCTAGGGTAGGCCCAGAACCGCGACCGGTTCAAATAATCCGCCACTGTTATTGGCCGTGAGCGGGAATCGTACGAGGGTCGTCGGGTTCGCGAACCGCTACACTACTGCTCCCCCAGACACCGCTTATATACACACACACACACACACCCGCACATATACACACGGACACAAATAGTGAATTAGACATCGCACCTATGTAGCTGTCAACAGGGAGTGTTCCGGTGACAACTGTAACGTCGAAAGGTCCCGAGACTCACGCGTTATGGGTGTCCACACTCGCATCGGACTCATGAGTCTTTACAGTGTGTGCGGATCCCCGTGAGTGTATGTGTGTACGCGTCTACGTGTCTGTACGTGTGTGTGTGTGTTCCTGTGTGCGTCTGTGCGTATTCACGCATGCATGTGTAGGCTGTGTGGCTGTGTGTGTGTGTGTTCGCGTGTGTGTGCAGGCTATATCCCTGCATGTGAGTGGGGAACGGTCGTGTAGTGGTTAGCCACTCTGCGTTATGAACGCGGCCACCCAAGTTTCATTTACGCTCACGGCCAACACCGTAGACTTAAAATGAGTTTCGGGCGCCGTGTGTCAACGTCAGAATTGGGGAGACAAAGGTGGCCGGGCGTGGTGTTATCCACGCCATCCAGTCGTGTGCCGTTACGGCCTTTCTTTCGGTGCTCGCTAACGGCACTTGCCCCGACAGCCGATGTGTGGGCTATTCGGGGGAACTTTGTCTTTGTTACGCGTGCGCGTAGGCTGCACGGCTGACTTTATCTCGCGCCCCACGCGAGCCCGTGGTCTCCCTCGTGGTTTCCTCGCCGTGGGGAGACGGAAGCACGCGCGATCGACTCCGCGCGAGCCTCGACCGTACCAACTCGACACTTGGGCGCACGCCTGCCCATACGGACCCCCGCATGTAATGTTTGTTTTGCTGAACTTATTGCGCACGGTAATAAGAACAACAAACTAGACGGAAAAAAAATCAGTTCTAATGAAATGAGTTTTAAATCATCAACTCACTCACCGCCGGTGTAACCATTTCCAGTGTGTCCTCGAAATACCGAGATACACCAGGGTGTCCCGGGATATATGTGCGCAATTTTTTTTAAACGTTATTTCAATTGTAAAACAAACAAAAAAATGTCCATTTACAGTTCGTATTGTTGCGTGGTAATTGTTTGTTATGTTATGAAAAAAGATGTATTTTTAAATGCGATGTAAAAAATATGGAAAAAAACACACCGTTCAAATCACAGAAACGGACAAGACAATTCCAGAACAATGCGGTTCACGGTGGCGAGATGTTAACTGCCTCGCCTGATATACAGGAGGTCGCGGGTTCGATGCCAACTCTGCCGCCTGTTGTATATTTGCAGTTTGCATGTTCTCCCCGTGGTCACGTGGATGTTTCTCCGGGTCCTCCGGTTTTTCCCTCCACAATTAGAAACGTGCGCTGAGAGTATGTGGCTGCTATACATTTTCCACATGATGAGCCACTTCATTGGGCTATCATTTGTGGCCAGATCGCTTCTGCAGAAGAGCTGTGTAGCTCATTGGGCCTTACCTGGTACAATAAAAATATGTAATAGTTTACATTATGAGACCTCCTTTGCCAGTAACAAGATATAGGAATAAGTTTTACCCTTTTAACTGGCACAAAAATAGTACGCTGTTTTGCTGATAGTACGCTGTTTTTGAGTTGTACGCCTTTTGGCGTCTTCTGGTCCAACACCAGTGGAGACTAGGCTCTAAGAAAAGCCGTCTCGGGTGTGGACCAATCAAATTCAAGGACAGTGCATATTATTATCAGAGTTGTCTTTTTTGTTTGCATTTTGACTGCTTGTGTTGTGGTTATTGCAAACATGATGCCTTGAATAAAGGTGTCAGTTTTTGTGCCAGTTAAAAGGGTAAAACCTATCTCTATAGTTTAGTTTAGCTTAAATAGTTAAATGCGCCGTTACTGTGGAGTATAACACTAAACCGGGAATACCTGGCCCCTGTCATCTCTGTGCAGCGTGGAGACAGCTCAATTCATCAGCGTTTGCTGTGATATATTTAAATTGCGTTTTCAATGTTTTTCAGTGACGTAGCTATCTCCCACAGCCCCGTTATATCCGGGACAAGATACATCACGCCGTCCAAAATCCGACGGTTGAATTGTACCAGTGGCCGGTAGCGGACGTCAATCCGTTTCCCTTTGCGATAGCGTCACCATCCACGGGAGGCGATTTGCTCGCTTGAGCGATGCCATGGATCGTCGTGTGTTTTGTTTTGTGTTTAGCGAGAGAATTAGAAGCAAACGCAGAGCTATATGCTTGCCCTGGCTGCCCTACGAGTGAACCCAATCAGCCTCCCAGTGGTAATTGCTGTGGATACGGAATCGATTATTTTGTTTATCGGATTGTTCAGGTTTTAAGGAAAATATGCATTCGACTGTGGGCCGAATTTCAGCTTTCCAGCCTGACTGGAACAACAACACTGCCTTAAAATACAACAAAAACACATACAATAGGCGACGTTTTGGGCAATGACCCATTTTTTCATTGCACATACAATTGTTGCACTTAACATGTGCACCCAAATTGGTTATGTTGTGTTCTGAAGAAGGACCATTTCCCAAAACATCACCTATTATATATATATTTTCCTTTTAAGGCAATAATTATTGACTAATACGTTAAGTTTTTAATAATTGTGCTTGTGCACCGCTGTCAACGCACAATCAGCAAATGTGAAACATTCGAACTGGCACGAGCCACTCAGTATCGATGGTCTTGACATCAGTGCTGTATAATTATTAGCTTAGCTACATCCACTGTTCGATGCAGGTCACCCCAAGCCGTTGCCCCTCCCCCCACCCGCTTCCCCGCACGGTGTCGCGATGCAGCAATCCATCTCGCTGGTGAACGCGAGCTCATTGTTTCAACGCTCCATCTCGGCGGGGAACGTCGTCTCTCACGCGTCGTTCGCGCCCTGATGCTGTTTCCCGCACCTCCGATGAGCACGGTTGGCTACGTACGGTGCGAACGAAGTTCAACATCCACACACAGCCATGCGGTGTCCTGCACGAACCCACTTGCTTTCCTCGACAGTCAAACTGATATGGGCCTGTTCTCTGATTCGCGTGTTCCTCTTCCTGTCTCTCA